ACCTTTACTAACAAGGTTTAATGAAAAGCTCAGAGTATTGTAGTGATGCAACAAAATCTGGTTTGACACAGGACTTTGGGCTTTTCACGATTACAGGACAGACTCTGAAATTGGAATTTAACTGAGTGTGTTATTGTTTGGATGTACAGCTGAATTACTCATAGTGATATCAGCCCATGGACAGTAAATATTAAGAGGGGGCTTTGGAGTCCCATCGATGGCGGTCTCCATGCTGGAAATGCTGTCTCAGTCTAACTTTCAGTCAACCTAACGACAGGCTGAGAGCTGGAGCTGAGGCGGGTTTTAAACCTCCTGACAAACCGTTACACCGCGCCCACCTGTCAATCAGGTCAGCTACACGCCTTATTGTGAATAACTCTTATCCTTCATCAAATCAAAACTGATGAGTCATCAAAAAATGTGTTTGCCGATCTAGACATGGGCTAATCAGACCTATTTTGCTTTTTGTGCGAGGTTGTAAGCAGTTAATTTCTGCTATATCTGCACACCGGAAAATATCTAGATCATTTCAGGAGGGCTGCTCCGGAGATTCTCCCGAACTGGCTGTTCACATATGCTCCTTACAGCGGGAGACTATCCCTGTCATATGATCAGGTTTTAAATCCAAGTCTGTGCTTTAAGTTGATATAAAAATGTTTATCAGTGAAGTTATACACGCACACGCCTTACACTTCCTTTACATTAAATAATGTGACCAATGTTACACCTTTGGTCTCACACAGGACTTGTCTAGGGTCTCCCGGGTAAGAGTCCAGTCTTTATGTTTTTGTCATTTTGCCCCCAGCCTCAACACCAGACGCACAGACTTCTTAATACCTTGTCCACGCGGGTCCATAGATTTTGTAATGGATTAGTGTGTACTCGACAAAGGATCCTAATTGCTTTTTCCACTGGGATTGTTTCCATGGTGCTGGCACGTTATTGTAACACACTATGTTCCCAAACAACATAATGGGCTGCTTGGAGATCACTGACTTTCACTTCTTTCTGAAGAACTGGCTGTCCCAAGAAACATGTGTACACAGCAGTCCACTGCCAGTGGAGCGGACAGTGAGGAGCTTAGGGTTGTCAAATCTCGTCATGATAAAAGAATTTGAGCCTTAATATTATACTAGTAAATCAAATAATGGTGATCCCTGTTTTGATACTACAGCAACAGAATAGAAGTCATCATAGGCACATAATATTGGGTCATTTCTAATAATTAATTCCCCAAAAATGCAGACACGCTCAACTGTCTAAACTGCATAATTACAACGACAGCATTTTGGTACCAGAACATTGCTGATGTGTTTTTGCAGTTCAGACATTGCACAACCTTAGCTCATGTGGATTGGCAACTTCCTTCGCTCACAGAAACGTTTGGTTAAAAGCGTGACTGATGAGTTTCTTTACAGCTTTCCAATGTTGTCATACTATCCATCATTAAAACAAACAAAGCTTATGCAAGTTCTGTCACATTAACAAAGTGCCCTCTGCTGGATAAGACTGCAAACTACTTCAGACGGCCTGATGCGCCGATAGAACTTATATTTTGAATTCAAACGGCTCCTTACAGTTTGAATGTGAACTTTCTCCCCAATGTTCAAATGAATGTTCAAACTTTAAATAATAAATGACGGCCCTAGCTTCTATCGTTTCAAACATGCTGTGTGGAAAAGGACCAAACTATCCAAAATGTTGACAATCTTATTACAGCTGTGCTAACACTTACATCTGCTCGTAACAGCTTCCTTGACAATACATTTTAGTTTTCATGTTTCTGACAATCATCCCTCTGAATGTATACCATTTGAAATTGGTGATGCCAAAAATTCAGTTTCGCAACTACTTCACAAAAAAGTTCAGGTTTCCAGGTACCGAAATATAACTACATTTTTGGGAATGCTTAGAAAATGAGACTTCAATCAAATTGATCGATGTGTTTAAGTTTGAATTTGTAATGTTTTAACTGACATTAATAGATGAATGTACCTTACCTTAAAAAAAAAGGTCACTTGAGCTTTCTATATAAATTCATGAAACCTGTAAAAAAAACTCACAATCTTTTTTTTCTGAATCTGCACGTCTTGCTTTATTTTAAAGAGTGAAATTCAAATCATGTGAATTGAATTGGATGACATTTAAAGTCACACATTTGTGCATCAGTAAAGATCAACACCACGCTTTAACTTGAGAGTTAAAGTCCACGATGGGTTTTAAAAAGCTCAAATAAATGTGAATTATTTTGTCATGGTTTTCCTCCATAAACTGTTTCTCTTTAAATCACTGCTGTATTCTGAACCATGCCTTTATCTCCACAACCATATGCTTTAGATTATTTGCACATACTCGATATATGAAAGTAGTTAAAATGCCACATTGAAGAAATAATTTCCTTACTTGACATTTAACCTCTACTCCTTTTTTCCAAAATGTTTGCTGTCTATTGTCATTCTTTAACTCTTGCCATCTTTTCGCTGCTTGTGGCTCAACATGAGAACATTTTGGGACATTAGACGAGTTAATTTAGCAAACCTATAAAAACCATCACATGAGGGGGCCTTCAGAAGAACAGCATGATTGTCCGAGGAGGAGTTTCCATAAACCTCAGGCGTCCCCTGCTGAGTCAATGTTTCTCCTCATCCGAGTGCTGATTAATGACTTACACATTTATCCTTGTAACTAAACCTAGGTGGGAATTTTTATCTTATTTAATATGTACCAAGCAGCAGCCGGCAAACAAAGTGAGAACAATCCTAAATCAAACTAATCTCTAATCAACAGGACAGTGAGAAGACGCGTCCAATCTTTCTTCAGCTTCAACATTGCTGTTTAGCAGATGTTTTCAAACCTTTAATTTAGTCATCTTTAACAGAACTCAATCCTGAAAGTCTCCTACAGCCACGCAGGCAGGAGGTTGTATTTCTGTAATGAATGAAAAACAGCAGAACGCTACGTGTCCATGTTTTTTTGTCGAGCAATAAATCTACAAACGCCATTCCATGCAGCCAGGAATAAAATACTACTGCAATATGACTTTTTAATTAAACAATAAAAATGATGAATATGACAACCAGCTGCTGCTGCTGAGCAGTGGAGGAAGTCAGAGAAAGCCTGGATCAATGGGGGACATCCGCCGCGAGATACAGCATGTTTCTCCAAAAGTTTTAGTTGTAATGTGAGAAACAGAAGTTTGATCCAGAACAAACTTTGTCTACTTCAGAAGCTAAAACACAGACAAGAAACATGTTTTTATGCCAAAACAACAAAAACAGAACAAGATTTCAAAGGCTTTTACATCTATTTTCTCTCAGATCCTGGTATCCTGGGATTCCTGTCTTAAGTATTAAAAGTAAACATGTAGGGGCCACTGGTGGCGCAATGGTTAGTGCGCGCGCCCCATGTATGGAGGCTGTTGTCTCGAGCGGGCGGCCCAGGCTCACATCCCGCCTGTGGCTTCTTTCCCACATGTTGTTCCCCACTCTCTCTCCTGAATTTGTATGTAGGCAGCATAACTCTGGCTGAAGTACACTTGACTCCAAAGTAACAAACAATAACAATTAGGGGTGCACAGATGCATCGGTCCAACATCAGTATCAGCCAATACTGACCCTGTTGAAAGAAATCAGCACATCCGCAAACAATGTGGCATGAACCGATACCAGGCTGAAACATGTTTATTTCTGCTGTAAAAAACTGTCTGTTCAGATGTGGTGTGTATGTGCAGCCAGCCTCAAGCAGACACTCGATGAACTGCAGGATTTTGCACTTGGCTTAATTTTTAGGAGAGATTTCCGCTTGGTTTTATTGCATTTTTGCAATAAATAATTTTTTGTCAGTTCAGCTTAACCCACTGCAGTAACACAAAAATATTTATGTTGCTACCTTTGCGTAACCCTGCACTGATTTCCTTTTTATTCTTTCTCTTTGTACTTACAGAGGTGAAGTTACTGATTTTTTATAAACCCTACCTAAAAAAGGGAACAGTATACAGAAACACTTCACTAAAACGATAAAAAGTGCTGTCAATTTTGTTTTGTTATATCTTTAACTATATTTATCAGAATCATCAGAATTATTATATAGTTATGTCCTATCATTGGTCCACTCGATGTGCTCCACCACGGTTAGCAGTTAGCATCCTCAAAGCTAGCCGTCCGGGAATGTCGGTCGCCACCAACATGATCCACTCTCCCTCGTTATTATCGTTACAGAAGTAAAGCAGAAGACTAGAACAAACTTAATTTGATTAACTGAATCGATTCGGTTCACTTGTAATGACTTTTAAAGGATAAATTGTTTGGAGAAAGGGACGTTCATGAGGCCCCTTAAACTCACCGCTCAACGGGTCGTAGTCATGGTAACCGTCGTTAAGGAAACTGAAAATAAAATTATTTACATATAATTTTAGGTAAATAAAATTAGGAGCCACGTCAATATTTTCATATTTATTTTAAAATAGTTAATTTTTTCATAATTATTTTGAACACAATTGATTGTTAAAAAAGGGGTTGGGTTGGGGTTTCTGCCTTTTTGGGGCTACACGGCAAGGTCAACGTTATGACGTCATCAGACGGTCATTATGTAAACTTTAAAATGTGTTTTTTCTTTTTCTTTGTATATCTATATATAAACAGAGGTCAGATCGAGCTGTATTAATTAATTAGGATACAGATTTAATTCCATATTTATTTATTTTATTTATTTATTTATTTATTTATTTATTTGTTTATTTATTTATTTATTTATTTATTTATTTATTTATTTTATTTTATTTTATTTTATTTTATTTTATTTTATTTTATTTATTTATTTATTACAATGCATCTTTTTCTGGCCAGCCCCTCCCCGTTGTTTTTATATTACTGTTGTGTTTGTGTATTTTATTTCTCTTTTTGTTCTCTGTGTTAATTTCTGTGCCGCACCAGTGTACCCAGCAGCAGAGGTGCAGTTCCTGAACAGCTCAGCAGAGGGAAACATTGGACACTTCTTCCTCCTCCAACCTCAGACAATAAAAACAAGGCGAAGCCCGCACACACACACACACACGGCAGCAGCATCTCCATTCTCAGCCGGGCACCCGAGCCATGTCTGAAGAGGAGTGACGAGCTCACACAACGGCTGCGAGAAATATGGATACACGGCCGACATGGAGCTGGGACTAGAGATGTAGCTGCAAGGATGCCAGCCCACTTCATCTCCCGCTTGCTCCTCTTCGCCTCGATCTGCGCGGTCTGGGAGGCGCTGGCCAAATCTCTTCCAGATCAGGGAGCAGTTGGTAAGCTCGCCATACGGGGGATGCAGCACAATGAGGAGATGGGAGTGGTTGCATTTTTATGGCTTTTGTCGACATAACCGTCGATCTTTGCAGCGCTGCGCTTTGATATCATGTCAGCTGAAAGACAATGCACAAAGGGGGAGATTTTCTACTCCTACCCGCTGCATAATGTTAGTTTGATTGTGTAGATTCCTTCATATAGATCACGGTGAGGGCCACGCTTCTGTGTGACGTTTGAAAGTGCTTAGATACAGTGCATCGGTGTCGTGTTTGAGACTGATCTGTGTGCACAATCTGCTGCTAGGCCTTACATATAGTCTTCTGTAATACCAGGCCTTATTTGCTGTTTCCAGGCCTTCATGTTTGTTAAATAGTCCTGACAGTGTGATACTAGCAGGGCCTGGGCTCCTGGAAATGTGTCAGTCAGTCAGTGAAACCCAGCTCATAAAAAGGTGTATTAAAAAAAAGAGACAAAGAACAACAACACTGATGTTAAATAAAAATACATCCACAGCCTTGAACACACCTCTGTTGATGTTGTGGTGTGCATATCTGAAGGACATTATGTAATTACAGTGCATTATTCATGCTTCAAGCTATTTTGAGCTGCATGGATGCTCACAGAGACAAGAGCTGCGTTGTAACTAAATACATTTACTCAAGTACACGTCAGTATTTTCACTCTATCCTCGTGCTGCAGCACATGTACACATTGTTTACATTTTAAAGATTGTGTACTTTTTAACCTACTGCATTTTGAAATGTTGGATTTACTTTGGAAGTTATAATATTTTAGACACAAATCTAAAATAGAATATGATGCATTATTAATTGGGCGACACATAACAGGGTGAACAAGGCCGTTTTGCATAACAGTACTTTGAAGGTAGAATTTGCGACTTTTTGATCCAGTAGATGTCGCCCTTGAGCGCCGCCGTGAAACCAAAACAAACTGCTTTTTTCGGCCACACCTCGGCTATTCTGAAGTCTCCGCTCTCCTCCAGCTGCATACAGCCAACCGAGTGGAGGGGGGGGGCTCCACCCGCAGTCGCACGAAGGAGTTATGAATAAGAACACGATGTAAACACAGCTCTGACAACAACACAGCCAGCGGGACTCGAGCTTCTCCCTCAGTGTAGACAGTCATGTCTACCTCTTAAGATGAAGTTTATAAAGAGAAAAATTGTATTGCTTTGTTAAAGATCAAACTGTGTATAACGTATGAACATACACTGTTTACACTATCTCATATTTCTTTGTAAGATGACAAAACATTGACTGCTCAGGTCTTCAGCATGAGTTCTAATCAGTCATACGTCCATATGAATGACTTAGTTTTACTCTGTTTCCCATGATAACACATAAGTATCGGTTGTTTTTACCAGATCTTAACTTCAGGATAACAAAGCTGCTTTTTCCCATGACAAGTTAATTTTTCGAGAGCTGAACAAAATGACTGAAAATAACTCGTTATCACAGGAAAACCATGCAGCGTTGTTATCCCGAGATAACTGGAAATATAAGTCGAGATCTCAGATTATCGGAAATCAAATGCATGGATTTATGTCCTCTTAAGGCTTCCGTACTCCTGCACAATCTGCTGGTGCGGGTTTTCACACAATTTAAGTTCTTTACATTTCTACAAGGTGCTTTTGTCTCTATTACTTTGATATCCTAATACTTCTGGGGGGCGCGGGGGCAAGCGGTTAGGGTGCTCGCTCTATGTACGGAGGCTGTAGTCCTCCAAGCGGGCGGCCTCTCCTTTCCCACATATCATTCCCACTCTCTCTCTCTCTCTCTCTCTCTCTCTCTCTCTCTCTCTGTCTCTCTCTCTGTCTCTCTCTGTCTCTCTCTCTCTGTCTCTCTCTCTCTCTCTGTCTCTCTCTCTGTCTCTCTCTCTCTGTCTCTCTCTCTGTCTCTCTCTCTGTCTCTCTCTCTCTCTCTGTCTCTCTCTGTCTCTGTCTCTCTGTCTCTCTCTCTGTCTCTCTCTCTGTCTCTCTCTCTCTCTGTCTCTCTCTCTGTCTCTCTCTCTGTCTCTCTCTCTCTCTCTCTGTCTCTCTCTCTCTCTGTCTCTCTCTCTGTCTCTGTCTCTCTCTGTCTCTCTCTCTGTCTCTCTCTCTCTCTCTCTCTCTCTCTGTCTCTCTCTCTCTGTCTCTCTCTCTCTCTCTGTTTCTCTCTCTGTCTCTCTCTCTCTCTCTGTCTCTCTCTCTGTCTCTCTCTCTCTCTGTCTCTCTCTGTCTCTCTCTCTCTGTCTCTGTCTCTGTCTCTGTCTCTCTCTCTCTCTCTCTCTCTCTATCTCTCTGTCTCTCTCTCTCTCTCTCTGTCTCTCTCTGTCTCTCTCTCTCTCTCTCTCTCTCTCTGTCTCTCTCTCTCCCTCTCTCTCTCTCTCTCTCTCTCTGTCTCTCTCTCTGTCTCTCTCTCTCTCTGTCTCTCTCTCTCTGTCTCTCTCTCTCTCTCTCTGTCTCTGTCTCTCTCTCTGTCTCTGTCTCTCTCTCTCTCTAAACTGCAGCCTCTCTGTTGGTAAGAAACTCATTTGAATTTAATTTTGATGGATTATTATTCCCAAGCAGCTGCCTGACTGATTAAAACATCAGCTAACTGATTCCTCTCGCGTGTGTTTCTGAACAGCTCAGCACTTCTCCAGACCTGCCGTTATGTGCAAGGTGTTGTTGAAGTGATTAGCATCTAAATAATCTCGCAAGGCAGCAGAATGAAGAGGCTGTTCTATTTTATTGACGAAACAATTAGTCTATGAACGGATCACTGAATCGATGGATAATACGTCTGCAACCATTTTATCATTGATCTGCATTTTCTGAAATCCACTCATCTTTTTATTTAGGGAATTTACATGATGGTTACGTTTCAAGAAAAGGGGAAAACCAAGAATCTTATATCAGCTTCCTGCCTCTGCTTTTGATAACAACCTGCCCGACTCGGCCCAAAGAAGAAGAAGAAGAAGAGGGCTTTCACTCCACTGACTCTCAGCTGTACTCGAGCGTTTTGGAGTGGTCCAAATTTCCCAGACTCTCGATGTGACACTGTGACTCTCAGTGTTTCTGTCAATGGAGCCTCAGTGGTTCAATGTGGAGCACAAATGGAGGAAATCCTCCCCACAAAACACACAAGGGAGCCTTTATTGAACCCATTATGGTAATGCTTTGCAGCAATTACACAAACAGACAATAGGTAGGAACACACACACACACATGCAGGGTATAATCTGAACGCAGCCATTAGCCTGTCACTGGAGGCTCGGGGGGTTTTAGAGCACGACAGCTCGTCGGGCTACAGGGAGCTGAGCAACAAACAAGGCAGCTTTTTGGAGAGTCAGCGTGTATCCATGGAAACATCCCCCAGCGTGACCCACATCCACGCCGATCAAGAGGCGAGATGAGAAACAAAATGTTCCGGGAGGATGAAGGGGCAGACATAGTCTCCCGATGGGAGTGTCTGATGACTATAAACATCATCATCATCATCATCATCATCATCATCAATCCAGCGCTACTGGAAACGATTAGTCCGCACCAGATCATCATCAGGGAGCACAAAGTAATGGTGCTGAAAGAGACTGGTGAAACATTAAGAAGTTAGTCATTGGTTCATTTCTCTCCATTTATTTGTTTGTTTTTAAGAACGTGCTCAGAAGCTGCAGCAGTGTCTGCAGCTCAATACTCGAGGGACTTAAAGAGTCAGACTATTTCAGTCCTGATGAAAACAATATCAATACCTGGGTGGACTTGTGGTCATAGATTTAGAGTGGAGGTGGATAAGGACCAGGATCGTCCAATACAGATATTGGATTGGTGCATCCCTAAATGACATTCATAATTAAAAACCCCTCCTTCCACAAAATGTACAATTTGCCCCAATTTCAATGTTCCTCTTTTCTTAAACTAACACGCGATATGAATCACAAAGCAAACCAAACCCAAAATTAAAAGAAGCTTAAAGTCTTTATATGCAATTTTTCACACTTGTAATAGAAATCAAGTATCTCCTCTGAAAATAACTCTGTGAGTCATGACTGTCTACAATGGGTGTAACACCCGAGTCCCACTGTCTGTGATGTTTTCAGAGTTTTCAGAGTCCTATCTTCACTTTGTTTACATTGCCAGGACGGCCGGCTGACTCCTCCCCTCTTGTATAAAAGTTGTTTAATTGAGGGACTAGAGAAAAGAAGAATAACATACTGTACTCACTGCTTAACTGTGTTTCTAGATCACGCTCATTTCAGGTAAATTTACATGCAGTGTGAAGATACCAGCATAATAAAGATCACTAGCATTAGCATGCTAACACAACAATGCAGCGCGAGTTGTTTTGGTTTCATGCTGGTGCTCAAGGGCGACATCTGCTGGATCAAAAAATCACATATAAAGCCTTTAAGACTTATAATTGGAGATACACAAAACAAAAATGATTTCTTTATGTCGGCACTATTTTGTTGTACAACTGCTGGTCTTCACTGTAATTTTCCAGCTTCTTGTTGTTTCCTGCCAACAGTTCCCCTCAGTTAGAAGGTCATTTGAGACACTGCTGCATGACGGTGTTGTGCTTGCATGAGAGCCGAGGGTGACTTGATGAAATATTCAGGTGTATAAATGTTGCTTTTTCTCTCTTCCAGAGGTCCAAATAAAAATCCAGGTGTTCGACAACAGCGACCTTTCACCTTTGGCCGACGCTCTGGTGGAAGTTCACGGGAATCAGACTGTCTTGGCGTCCAGCAGGGCGGGCAGGGATGGCGTCCTGAGGGTCAGCTTCCCGTACCGCACAGGAACCTGGGTGGTCATCACGGCCTCCAAACGAGACTACGTCACCAACTCTGTGCCCTGGCACTCCAGCCGAATTCCCCGTAAGTCACCGAGGAAGAAAATGAAGTTCATTAAGCACGAGCAGAAACGTGCTCAAACTAGGATCAATATTGGAGATGCTTTTGAAAAATGGAGAGAGGTTAGAACACAGAAAGGTTTACAGACCCATGCAGAGCTGGATAAACACTGAAGCTTCAGAGTCCACCACATGGTGACCTGAGTGAGCATCCACTCTAGAGAGGAGGGGGGGGAGACAGCTCTCTATGATGTTTAGAATTTAGACTGCAGTACCCATTTTAAACACTAGGTATCAGAGCTACATATTGCTCCTTTAAAAACAAGTGTCCTAAGTCTTTGGTATTTAAATTCAATGCGTGTGGTTTAAAGTGGTCTTGTTTTTTATGACTTTGTTGCAGGTTTTCACATTACACATTTTAAAATGTAATCACTTATTTCATTCATCCTGCAACTTATACAATGAATGGTGTGAAATCTTACTACACTGCTGCTGAAAGTTTGCCTCAGAATTGTTGTCGCTACACCGGAATAATCTAATATTAATGCCTCTTCCTTTTTGTCTTCAGTGTACGCATCAGTCAGCCTGTACCTCCTTGTTCAGAGGCCTGGAACTCTTATTCTGTATGATGACGTCCTGCAGGTGCTCTCGGGGTCACCAGGTAAAGAAAATGTAACTCTTTTTCCTCTCTAGAGATCTGAACATTTAAAGCTAGGACATGCATGTTCACTTAATGCCGTCATGCATTGAATTTATGAGAGAACTGAGTCACTAGATTAGAGGTAAATTGAACTTTATTAAAACCTTTTGGGTGATGATAATCCAATTTTTTGCTGCTTGGTAAAGTCAATTTGACCTTTTTATTCTTAAAGTAGTCTGTCACCAACAGAGTGAAGACTGATTCACACCTGTCTCCTCAACTCACGTCTACTCCGGCCTACATAACCATCACAGCTTAACATTTATGTGACCCTGTGTTATTTTCTCTGCTGCTATCACCATAGCAACAGCTGCAGAAAAGTGCTTTGTCATAGTTCTCATTCACAGCCAACTCCCTCAGAGCTGGTTGTTTACTGAAAGTCAAGTATGTTTATATAGTTTTTTTTATGAGACAGAAGGAGACAATGTGTGAGTTTGATTGTATTTTCTCTGCAGGAGCTCGTAACCAGCCACTGGTGCAGCTTCAGAGGAAGTCCCTGCAGCTGCCGTCCAACTCAAACTACACGGCGCTGTCCGCCGCTCTGACCACAGCCAGGACTCAGTATGAGGTCGGGGGGTTCCCGTTTCTCCTGGGCCAAGAAACCAACAGCTCAGGTGGGCGTCTGACTCAAAAAATCAACGTGGAAAATGATCTGTGCTTACTGGAGCATGAGGGGAGGGTTTCCTGTTCCCTCAGTTCTTAGAAGGACATCATAACACGTCAGCATGCAGCGGTATTTTAGACAATAGTGAGATCCCAACGATGTGTCAGCAGTTGAAAGAGGTGCTTTCCTGTTTTAAAATAACAATGTCTTTCTTTGCTTTGCACACCAACAGCTCAAGAAATTCCCTACTCTCTCTCTCCAATCAGCACAATGTCCTATCTCTGTAATAAAGGCTTAAAAAAAGCTAAAAAATAAACCCATAAAAAAAGAAAAGTAGTGAGGAGCGTGTCTGATAATGACTGACTGAGATGCTGTTTTGTTTCCGTTCAGGTGCAGAGACAGGATGGACGGACTTGACAGCTCTCGCCGTGGTCAGCATTCAGCTCTTCGACAAAGATGGCGACCCGATCCAGGTGTCGGATCCGATCCACGTCTCTGTCCCGCTGCCGTCGGACACCCGCAACAGGATGGCCACCAGCGTTCCCGCTTGGCTGTATCAGCAGCCTAAGACGGGTCAGTGCAACAACACGCATGAATCACGTTTGTTGTGACAGCCGTGTGTCTCTGCTTAAACTGTTTAAAGAATATATAACGACTGGGGATAAACATTTGTTAACAGGACTGTGGGTCAGGAACGGGACGGGCTACATCAAAAAGGACGGCCAGCAGTTTGTGTGGAATGTGGTCGTCCCTCAGATGGGATACTGGTTAGCTGCCTTCCCTACATCTTCAGGTACCGTAACTCATCTCTGCCTCTGCTCTGCTGTGCGTCCTGTTTTCTCCTCCTCAGTGTTGCCATGCCAGCAGATGTTCCTGCACCGAGTGTGTCTCCGGGGACAAAATATGAAGCGCTCTGTTTGGTGCAGGAAGCCAGGTGTTGTTGCTTTAAGCCGTGACAGCTTTTAGGATTTGCTACATGGAAAGATTTAGTTGCTTTTGGCGTAAAGCTGTTAGGATACAAACATCATCTATGTTGATGCTTCTATCAGAGCTTTTCCAGACAGAAGTTAAGAAGAAGAAGAAGATATAGTTTATTAATCCCGCAAGAGAAAATTCCATTTTACACACACAGACGCTGAAATACACACACATGCACAAACAGGATGGACATGCACTGATGGAGAGATGTCAGAGTGGGGGGGGGGGCTGCACACAGCGAGTGATCCTGAGCTGGTGGGGGGGTTCAGTGCCTCTGCAGCGCTCAGGAAGTGAACTAACACCTCTCCAGCTACCAGACCAATTTCCAGACTTGGTCCGGCGACCCCCTAGTTCCAAACCGAAGTCCCTACAGACTGAGCTAAGAGACATTAACATGTGAGGAGGATGAGACTGGTGGTAGATGTTTAAGGCAGTTAAAGAGCCTTTTTTGAAGAATTAAACCTTATATTTGTGACCTGCTGTTTCTAAAAATTCTCTCTAGGTTCCTGCAATTGAAAGATGAAACACTATTTCTCATTCAGATTCAGATTTCCTTATTGTCCCACAAGGGGAAATTTGCGTTGCAACAGGAGCACACAGAAGACAAGAAACAAAAGGACAACATCACCATAAAACATGGACCAAATGAATTAAAAGAATATAAAACCAAATAAAAACAGCACAATAAAATCAGTCAATAGCCCGTACCAGAATGGAAATTCAAGTTATTAAAGTGCAAAGTGGAGGTGTGCAAATGTGCAATTCAAGTGTAAAAAGAGCAACAAATAGCTAATTGTTATTTAACATATTAATTGCACTTGGTAAAAATGTTAGTTTAAACTGTTTTACTATGTAATGTCTTCTTTTGTTTCTCTGTATCTTGACACTGTTGGAAATTAGAGAAACCAACTCAATGATTTTCTACGGTTAAAATATTTTGATGATCTTTTAAACCTTTTAGGTTTTTAGGGGGTCTACATTTCTGAAAAATGACCCATAGCTACAAAAAGTTTTGGAAATACTCCAAAAATTGAAAAAGCTGGTTGCAAAGACTTAGATTTAAATATTGTGAAAAACTTCACCCTATCATAGTGCTTCCACTTAAAGTGCACAGATTATAATTCAAAATGTTGAGTATTTAAAGGTGATCATAACTGATATTTTATTAATTGGTTGCTCTGTTTTGTTTGTGTTATTTGGCTGCTTTATTGCCACTGTTAACAAGGGCAAAAACAAAATATCATGGGAGAACTTTCAGAGTGATTCTTGGACATTTTTTCTGTCTTCACTTGTCTTGCAGGATTGGGTCTGTCTCATCCAGGCTTGAGGGACATCACCACCACCTACCACACCCTGTTCCTGCTCTCCATCCTGGGCTCGCTGGCCCTGCTGGTGCTCATCCTGCTCTGTGTGCTGCTCTACTACTGCAGGTGTGGGGAGCGTAGACGAAGGTCTCACTTTTAGGTTTCTTCAAAGAGCAAAAAAAGAAAAATTGGAAAATTAATTTCAACTTCGATATTTGCAAATAACTCTGTGTGAAAGAGGCTTGTAGATGTAACTCCTCAGGTAGATGACAGGTTGTTTCTTGCACCTCTGACCTTCAGTTTCTGTTCTTTCAGGCGAAAGTGTTTGAAACCTCGTCGACAGCAGGCGAAACCTCACACGGCCAATACAAACGGTGCGAAGAGGGACCAGGGTACGTCTACTTCTCGCCTGAATCTTATTTGCGGAGGCCATGCTGAGTCGGGCGCCTCCAACGAGAAATCTGAAATGTCCCCGTCGCGAGACTACCAGAGCTCAAAGGAGGACTTGACCAAACACGTCCCGGCTCACATGCTGCGGCACGCGAAGGGGAAAAATAATTCTGGTTCCCAGCGGGGCGAGAGCCTGGCCATGAAGGTCACACGGGCCACCGAGACCAACAACCTGGACAACCCTCTGCTGCATGAAGACTACAACCGGGGCTACAGCCAAATGGAGGGCAAAGAGTCCGAGTACCATCGACACCACAGCGCCAACGACAATCGGGGGTACTCCTCCGATCCCCCGTCCCCGCCTCGCTTCCAGGGGTACGTGCCAAACCAGCAGTCCGACAAACCCCCCGAGTACTCGGCCGCGGCTGCGGACAGCCTCGCAAGACCGACATCCCTCAACACCCAGGCGGGTCAGATCATCTTCTGCAGCTCTATCGACCAGATGAAGGAGAACATGTACCGGAGCATGGTGCCGACGCTGGTCATCCCGGCGCACTACATGCGTCTGCCCTCCGAGTTCTCGGGCAAAGACGGCAAGGATCAGAAAGACCAGGACAAGAACGGAGCGCAGATGGGAGGAGGGCCGCATCATCACCACCACTCCCAGAAACAAGGCCAGCAGCACCAGCAAGGGGGTTCCGGGGGCGACGACTCCGAGGACCCGAGCTGGGCGTCCGACTCCTCCGGCGGACCCGTGACCATCCCCGTGCTCTTCAACGACTCCACCATGGCTCAGATGAACGGCGAGCTGCAGGCCATGACCGAGAAGAAGCTGCTCGAGCTGGGGGTGAAGCAGCACCCGAGAGCGTGGTTCATCTCCCTGGACGGACGCGACAACGCCCACGTGCGCCACTCCTACATCGACGTGGCCAACGATCTGAGCGGCGGCGGGATTGGCGCGTTTTTGAGCGGCCCGAACAGCGGCAGAGACGTCAACCTCGAACCGCCTCTGGAGTCCCAAGAGCGCAAGTCGGGAGTCAACCGGAAGGGCAAAGATGAGCGCTGGGGGACGGGAGGGCGGAAGAGCCACGGCAGCGGCAGTGGTGGCGGCGGCGGCGGGGGGAAGACGTACTCGAAGTTGGCCTACCCGGACCACAGCGATCCCAGCAGCAGCAGCGAGGGGCGCCCGGTCTCGCCCGAGGAGAACTCCCTCACCCCGCTTCTCGACGAGGGCCCTTCCTCACGGGGGTCCACTATTCCCAGGAGGGGGCGCAGCCGCGTGAACAGCAGCCGCAGCAGCAACAACAGCAACAGCGAGAACCGACGCGACTCCATCACCAGTCCCGAGGACGACCCCGACGACAAAGACGAGAACAAGAAGAGCCCCTGGCAGAAGATCGAGGACAGGCCTCTCATGGTCTTCCACCCCAGGAAGTGAACGCCGTTTTTGAACACTTTGGACCTTTTTAACGATCTTTTCCAAAAGGGGGAAATCTGAGTGATGTTCCCGCAGAGAGATCTCACAATAAGCACAACCATGCTTCTTCACCGGTCCATCTTCAGGTTGTTGTTGTTGTTCGACCTTTGTGTTTCTGGTGAGGTGCTTTTGCACTTTTGTAGTCTCACTGTTGGTGAATCTCACTGGTTTCCACTAAGAAGATCTGTCGTCTACTGAAACCTAGTTTATTGCGAGTCGTGTTCACCTATCACACCACTGAACCATCGTCTGAGCCATTGCATCTACTGACTGTGGAAATAGCCATTTTATAGAGCAGAATATAAGAACAAAGCACTTATTAATACTTTGAGAATTCATTGAGCGGTACTTATCGAGTATTTGGAAGTAGATGGAGTTTTTATGGCACCGATAGGTTTTTAGGTAAATTAGATTTCCCTTCCCTGGAGGTTCATATCAATGACTTGTCCTGTTCCCTTAACTGTATCTAGAATAAGTTTTCTTTGAAGAAAACATGTTCCCAGAGCTTAAATATGTTCTGTTTTTTTCTTGAGCCCCTGTGACTGGATAATGCAAATCTATTTGTCCAATGTGCGACTTGCATTTTTGCTCCTTCAGGGATGTTCTTCATTTCCTCTTTTTCCTGTAATGTTTTTTCGAATCACTTATTCAAATTTGAAATGTTGAGCGTCATCTTGTTCCAGTGTTTCCGCCAATCCTCTCTGTCTTGATTGATCTACATATCTGCCAAAAGTTTTTTCATATGTCTTTTTTTTCTCTCCCGTTGTCGAGACAAAGACTTGAATCTTTGCTTTTTCCTGGCGTGTAAATAAATTCCCAAACATTTCAAAGACAATTTGATAAAGAAAGATTGCATGCATACACTATGAATGTATGAAATAAAACAGAAGGCACCAAAAGCCCCTCCCCCTTCAACATTTCTTCGGGCTCCTGCATAGACAACCCCAAATCGGCAAGAAACGTCGAAACATCACTTTACTTGAATCTATTTAATATCCGAGTGAGATCTACAGGGGTTGTTTGTCGGCAGGGCCTGCACCACTTCTCTCCTGTAAGTGCCTTCTTTCACAAAGAATCGAGTGATAGGCATGCAGGTCCCTTTTTTGAGATGTCACCTTAGCTAATCCGTCGTTGAGATAGGCGAGCACTAAAGCAGCACGCTGCAGCGATCGTGGTAACATCGACGATGACGCGTCACTCGGGGGAGCATGCCTGCCAAAAAAAAGTTCCACTTTTCTTGCGGCTTTTACGTCCTTGATTATCTTACTTTCTTGTATCTATCCTCTTTTTCACCAAACTTGTAAATGCTACGATGAACTATATGAGATTTTAACGTGTATAACGATGTGCATGTGACGTAGAATAGGGTGTTTTTAATGAAATCTTTTTTTGAACTGATCCAGGATGTTTGGCGTTTAAAAAAAAAAAAAAAGAAGAAAAAAATGATGCACTGACGCATTGAATTGTGTTTTGCCAAATGAACTTGGTTATACTGAGATACACTGAGACTTTTTTCCGTAATCCAGCTCTGACAAAATCACTTCCGGTCGTAAATGTTTACAACAATGACATGCTGACCAACACGCTCTCCCGCCGTTTCTTAGCATCACCACTGCCTACGACGCATCAACAACTGTGAATCAATAATCGTGCAGATTCAGAACCCGACATTCTCGTGTTTTTAAGAGTGCAATCTTAACGGCTGTATAAAAAGGTCACGCTGGTCTGTTGGTCCTTTACACCCATTTGCTTGCTGTTCATAACGCTTGTGTAGCCTACAGAACAAACTGGGAATGTGATGTGAGTCATAGTGAAGAGTAACGCAGCCATGAAACATGAAACACGTCCTACTGAAACGTCTCTTCCACTGCTGTAAATGTACATTTCTTTGGCCCAGATATGGAATTAACTGAGTTGTGCAATCGTGGCTTTCCTTGCTTGTTTTTGTTTGGTTTATTTACATGAGGAAAATCATTTTTTCTCTGTAGATTTTGTGAACCTGTTGTTTGGACAGAGCGCGCTCTGTCACAGCTGAACTGAATCCCAGAGAGGTGACTCCTTCTGGTGTGTCAACGGGGCTGTGTCGGGTTTTAGACGAGGATTGAACTGTAGGCCTTCACCCCGTGCAGTGAATCATTTTGCTTCATGAACCTGGTCAGTTGTTTGTAAACTGTAAATGGATTCTTTCTGTACATGAGGAAAAAAATAAAAATGCATTTGTTCCCAAAGTCATTCAGCATCTGTGGGTTTTACTCTGAATGAACTCAAGATATTAACTATTAGAAGAAAACGTAAAAAAAGGACAGAAATAGACAGAAGACATTTAAAAAGCTAATGAGGGGGCGCGCTGGTGGCGCAGTGGTTAGGGCGCACGTCCCATGTATTGAGACTCTCATCTCGAGCAATAGGCCCGGTTCACTTCCACCTGTGGCCCCTTTCCACATATCATTCCCCCGCTCTCTCTCTCTGGTTTCCAACTCTATCCACTGTCCTCTCTCTGCATTAAAGGCACGAAAAGCCCAAAATAAATCTAAAGCTAATGAGGTAAAGAGGTAAGAGACATTGATTAAAGCAGACTTGGAGAAACAACAGCGATCGTTGACTGATTTAGCTGCTTCCATTACAGACAGAATAAAGTGCTGAGTCAACAAAAATACAAACAGGTCACTGTTTAATATTCATCACTTGTAATTAAGTCACAAGTTCACATTTTAAAGATTTATATTTTGGGGCTTTTTGTGCCTTTAATGGAGAGCTAGGACAGTGGATAGAGTCAGGGAATCATGGAAAGCGAGAGTAGGGAATGAAATGCGGAAAGGAGCCACAGGCGGGATTCAAACCTGGGCCGCCCGCTTGGAAGACAACAGCCTCCATACATGGGGCATGCACACTAACCACTGTGCCACTAGCGCCCCACAAGTGCACATTTTTACACAGTCAAATACAAACTGTACATAACCACATTAACATTAGCACATGAGAGAGTAACTCCTGACACAGCCGAGGTGAAACAACAACATCACTAACACAACTATCCCCCCCTGACTTGAATTAATCAGGGAAAAGGCACTGGGGGGCTGCTGAATCTGTTGGGACTTGGTTGGGTCGCTGGGTCAAGTCCCGATGCCACCATAATATGGAAGTTGGTCTGGTAGCTGAAGAGGTTGCTGGGTCACTTCCCGAGTACTACAGAGGTGTCCTTGAAACAAGGCATCGAACCCCCAACCCCAACAATCTTTTCACTAATGGATGTCCACAGGTCCTGTTTGTGCATGTGTGTGATTCGGGCCTAAGTGTTTGAGAAGCATGTCTCTAAATAACAGAGAGTAAAACCAGAATTTCCCTCAATGATTAATAAAGTATATAAAATACATTTAAAAAGAATCTATCTGTTGGTTTATAGATTACATATAAATAGGAACATCTGAACCAATAACCAGAAGGAAGTAACTGTACTGTAAATATCAGAGATGTATTGATACTGTATGAACTCCCATAGATGTGAGAAGATGTGGCTGTTAATTTCAAGTTTTCTTTTTGCATACAGCTGCATCATAAAATGTGATTGTTGTTGTAAAAAGTCACAAGATACCTTTCTACAAGTTTAGTTTAGTTTAGTTTATTTGCACATTTTTTGAAAGAAGAATCAAACAGAAAATTAAAAAAAATACAAAATAAAACACATGTGCAGGTGAGGTAGAAACCCATGAGGGCTTATCTCAAAACCTCACCTTAAGAGATTAAACAAAGTTAAAATAAAATACAGTAAAAATAACAAAGTAAGAATATTTACTATCACAAATCAAATTTACCCCAATTGGAAATTACATACAAACATTGAAAACATAAAAATAGAGCAAAACAGGACAATTCACTATTCACTACAAATCTTTCTGACATCAAACCATTTCTGAGTCTCAATTTGTATCTAGAAAAAGACAAAAAATCATCAAGTAAATAAATATGCGTGTTCCATAATTTGACTCCACGGTATCTTATTGAGTCCTCAAGATGTATGACACATTGATAGGTAGAGGTTATTGATTTGTCTAGTTGAGTAATAGTTCACTTGAGAATTAAAAATTAAAAATGCTTTAGCTCAGTGGTGTCCAAACTTTTTTCTTGCGGGCCAAAATTGTCGTGTTAGAATCGCTCGCGGGCCACAGGTTTTGTTTTTTAAAATATAGCTTTAAAAATAGTAAGGCTTTGTAGATCAGAATCAAAAGGCTCGCTAAAGAAACCCTTTAATAAAAGGAAATCAAATATTTTGATTTCTTCGTTCTACTTTATTTGTTTTTTTCTCAGAATCAAGTCTGTAACGTGGTTCATGTTTTTAGAAAAGCTTTCTGCATTTAGCTCAGGTCATTAAATGGTTAAACAACAGTCTGCTTGTTTGCAAAAACTTTACATAAGTTTTTTTTCATAGTTTACAAAAAAATGTGGAAAATAGTTAAAAGCTGTAGATTTAAAAAAACAACAACATACACGTTACTGAACATTTTCTATTTTAGGAATATTGTTCAGCGCTTGTTAACATGAAAAAGTAAAATAAGATAATGTGCCGATCTTAATCAAAATCTTTTGATTCTTCATGTGACGTCACAGGCCGCAAAAAATCCCCTCAAGGGCCGCAAATGGCCCTCGGGCCGCACTTTGGACATCCCTGCTTTAAAACTTTCTGGCAAGTTTGCACTCATGTATTTAACTTCAAAAATAGAGCTACTAATTTGAAGAATATTAATATCAAAGATTGTCAATATGTTACTCTTCCTCGTTGTTAACTTATATCCTTGTGTCTGTGCAGGTTCTCAGTGATCCAGGTCATGTTTGATCTGAAGGCCGCTCTGCCGCTCTGCCGCTCTGCCGCTCTGCCGCTCTGCCGCTCTGACGCTCTGCCGCTCTGCCTCTCTGCCGCTCTGACGCTCTGCCGCTGGAGGAGTGTCTCTTTAACTGTGAACAGCTGAGTCACGTGTCAGTTTGTCACGTGACTGTGAGCTGGAGGAAAGACATAAAAAAACAGAAATGTCATCTTTGTTCTCTGAATGTTTGTGAAGCCGCTTTGCAGACGACTTCGTGTGTGTGACTAGCCTGAACTGACGCCACACCTGACAGGTAAGAAAAACACTCCCCGGTTGTGCACGGGACAGAAACATACAAACCGGCTAGCTCAGACGTTAGCCACCTAGCATGCTAAACTTGTTTTCTTTGGATTAGACGTTAGCTTCCAGCTAGCACGCTACTTTCAGTTAAACTCTTACAGTCAGTTTCTTTTAGTGTCAAGTGATGTAATATTTCTAAACATGTCTTATTATATTTATAGGAGTGATTGTGATTATTTTCCACACAGTATCATTGTGATTAATGTTGTTTTTGTTGTTCAGTAGGTTGTAAGAGGAGTATGCAGCTCAGTGCTCTTTGTTCATAACAACACAATCCACCTGCTGATAATGGTAAAATACTCTCATTATTATTATTAACATTTATATAGTTTTACTCGTTATTTTATATGCAAGCTGCAGGGGAGAAAAGTTTATATGTATGTTTACTCATGTGTAGCACTTAAGTTCAATTTTACATACTTTTAATTGAGTATTTTGATTTTCTGTTTCTCTTTTCGTCCATTAAACTAAATTTCACTACATTTTTATTCTACTTTATTGTTTTTTTAAAAGCTGAATTAATCTGCAGATTAATACTTGTGGTACACAACATGCTCAACAAAGTAAATATGTGTTAAAATAGTTTTTATTAGTCCTGTTTGGGCTGCCACAAGAAATAAATGTACATTAATTTATTTGAAAATGATAAATTAAAAAAGAAAATGACAATTGCACTATTTAAAATTCATGGCAACATCCACATAAAGAGGAGACTAAATCAAGCCAAAGAAAACGTTTAATAAAGAAGATTAAAGTATGTATATCTGTTCATAAATATATATGCCCCACCTTTTTAAACCAGGTTTTGTATCTTATTGTTAATCTAAAGTAAGCAGTGACCGTAGCCTATAATGTAAAAAGTTAATGAAGGCTCAGTCGGTCATCTCTAAACTGGAAGGTCGGTGGTTTGATCCCCAGCTCCTGCAGCCACATGTCCGATTTGTCCTTCGACAAGACTCTTAAAGAGCCCATATTCTGTCCTTTTTGGGGTTCATATATTTAATTTATGTTCCTACTTTTGTACGTTCACAATAGATAAAGTCTGAAAAGTGTCTGTTTTCATGTCCTGCTCCTCCTTGCTCCCTCTACGCTCTGAGTCTGTCAGCTGCACTCTGTTGAGCCCACACTGTTAGACCCCACGTGGGCCAAGTCTGCTCTGATTGGTCTGCTGATCCGCTCTGTCGTTATTGGTCAGTTGCTCAGCACGCGTCTCGGAAATTTCAACATGAGCTGCTGGGCCACAACGAGCCAATGAGCTTAGATCAGTGATCTCACACTGACAATGACGTCGCACTGACACATTTTTATCGAGGGGGGCTCGAACCGAGCGTTACATGCAGCTAATGCTACAGCTAACAGGAGGAGGTAGGAGGAGCCGCGTTTCCACAGACTTTTAATTTTTGCACATAGATGTGTCTAAACATGCACAGGACACTTGGAAAACACACTAAAGAGCAGATAAAACCAGAAGAAGCAAAACAGCAGCTGAAGAAAACAGGAACCCCGAGCTGCTCCCGCTGCTTCAGCCAGTCAATGATATTGGCCGATATTAGCATATCAAGTGGCTATCGGTATCAGCTAACTTTATTGCAGATATGTGCCAACATGACTCGAATTAATTCACCAGTCAAATAGCATTTCACTTGAGTATCGTTGTATTACACTAGCAGTTCTCTGTCACCAGCAGAGGGCGCTGTATGGATTACAACAAGCATCATGACTCTCCAGAGTGTCAGGATGTGATGCACCTACATGCTCAGTTACTTTCCAATTGAGTCTTCATTAACTATCTTTTCCACAAGTATTTGATAACTGAATTTGAGGGATCAACGTAACAAATGTGTATATTTATATATCTCTACAGATCGATTATAGATCTGTAGAAAGATTTCAAAAAAAAAAAAAAAAAAATTTCATATCGGTCGGCCGTACTCTAAAGTGACGTGCTGTGATTTCTTGTCCCTGGAAGCATTGTAGGAATTGTCTTTTTGCCTTTTTCTCAAAGTAGATGTTAACTATGATGCTTTTTTATTCCTTGGTCAATGTGTTGTTGTCCTTTTTTGTACAGATATTAATCTTGTTATTTAAAGTGGTATGGACCCACATGTCTAAAATAAAGTGTATATCATAGAAAATAGCCTAACAGCTTTGCAGGTTGCTCCATATTTGTGCCGTTTTTGCTTAACAACAGATGAATTCCTCTGTTTTAATGTTGCAACCTCTCCCTGTATCAAACACGGTTGCTCAAGAAACTTCTGTTAAACCCCGAAGGAATGACCTGCTTCGACAAATCTGCCTGACCACCTCACAGAGCAGAAAAATAAACCCAAAGAAAGCTAGCTTATTTCTTGATCAAAAACCTTTTGTGATACATTTTTTTTGCAAGCCAAAAACACCAAAAACTTCACGGTTTGATCTCCGTGTGCATCGATTTGAAGGTTTTCTTTGACAGAAAATGTAACCTTGTAAAGATTCAGACGAGAGAAGCAGATTTGGAAGAATTAGTTACAGTAGTTAGCTGTATCCCTAAAAGGAACAAACACCTGAAAATGAACCTACTTGTACATTAGTTAAACATTGACATGGTGACTAAGGTCATTGTGTAGTGATGGAGTTTGATAAGAAATGCCTCAGATAACAAACATAAAGCAGACGTGAACTTTTCAGAATCTGTGTTTTTGTTTGGTGTTGAAATCCAGTTAATCAGCTTGTGTGTTTGCCCAGCTGCTGCCCTCTTTATTCTCAAGAACCAAAGAGAAGCTCAAAGATTAGATAAAGCCTGTTGACAGTCGTTCAGGATCTTTGTGTGTTTGTCGGACAACAACAACGTGTCACCCTTCACTTCTCTCTCATCATCCCTCTCCTCTCCTCGTCTCCTCGTGTTCAGACTGTGCAGATGGGGATCCTGCTTTTGGCTCTGCTGGGCCTCGGCGCAGCGCTCGTCTGTCCTGATGGAGGCATGTGTCAGGATAAAAACACCTGCTGCATGAACATCGTGGGAGGATACGGATGCTGCCCACTTCCTCATGTGAGTTTTCAAACTGTCACATGTCTGACACAAGAGGGGTGGGGGGGGGGGGCATGTTTCAATTAAGCTGCAAGAAGAGCTCTTTGCAGATGAAGCTTCAAGATGCAGAGTATGAGCACGCTGTTGTTTTTGCAACTTAACTTCGGTTTAAATCCTCTTTCAAATGGCTTCAGTTCAATCAAGGAATATGAAGATATATAAAATTATCACCACACTTACTTGACGTTTAACTTTGCAAACATACTGGGGTTAATCTATCGGACAGCTGTAGTGAAGAATTAAAAACATTTAAGTCTTTCTCTGAAAATAACTCTGTGAGTCATGACTGTCTACAATGGGTGTAACACCCGAGTCCCACTGTCTGTGATGTTTTCAGAGTTTTCAGAGTCCTATCTTCACTTTGTTTACATCGCCCGGACAGCTGGCTGACTCCTCCCCTCGTGTATAAAAGTTGTTTAATTGAGGGACTAGAGAAAAGAAGAATAACATGCTGTACTCACTGCTTAACTGTGTTTCTAGATCACGCTCATTTCAGGTAAATTTACATGCAGTGTGAAGATACCAGCATAATAAAGATCGCTAGCATTAGCATGCTAACACAACAATGCAGCATGAGTTGTTTTGGTTTCATGCTGGAGCTCAAGGGCGACATCTGCTGGATCAAAAAATCACATATAAAGCCTTTAAGGCAGTTTCGAACACATTTTCAAAATGACATATAAGGTAAGGTCTGTACTGTCGACCAATTGATGTGTGTTATGTATGACTCACACATTTATGAAGGCATCGATCAGTTAGATGACTTCAGATCAAAACAGTCTTTTTACATTTTTCTTCTGAATGTCAAGATGTTTGTGCAACAACAAAAAAACCATCACATGCAGATAAACTTTGACCTGGAGGACTGATTATCCTCACTGACAGGATGAGTAGTGTTTTAGTTAAGACCAAGACGTACCCGAGACCAGAGTGCTCCGAGACCAAGACCAAGACATTTAGGGATCGAGTCAAGACCAGGGCAGGGTGAGACTGAGACAAGACCAGGACCATAAATATCACAGAAAAATCATTTTCTTGTGTGGAGGGGGCGTGTCACGTAACACTGGGAAGGTTGCGGCTGTAACCGGGGGATAAAATTCATATTGTGAATGAATTTAAATTATTTGTTCTTTTTAGAAAGGGGTGCTTTTCTTCTAATCACAGTAATGACAGAAAATAATAGCCTATCAGTGGTGGTCTCGACCGGTCTTGATTTAGAATTCAGAGTCCAGCAAGTCTGAGGCTGAGACAAGACTGAGACCTTCAAAAAGACCGATTTGGAGTACTACAACACCAGTTCCTAGAGTGTCTGAAACCTTTGTCTGTTTCTCTGAATCCCCCTACAGGCTGAGTGTTGCTCAGATCGCCTCCACTGCTGCTACAAGGACACAGTTTGTGATCTCGTCCACTCCAAGTGCGTCAACAAGACCGTTTCTCTGCCCTTGATCAGACGAGTTCCCACCAAACAGGCCCTGCTCGTCCCTCAGGTATTTTAAAAACTGGTCATTGACATTTATCATAGTGGTTAGGTTGTGCATCATGTAGAGAGGCTGCAGTCCTTGGAGCGGGAAACCCGGGTTTAATCTGGCCATCGGCTCCTTTCCTGCATTTCCTACCCCATTCTCTCTCCAATATTATCTACTATTTTCCTTTGTAATAAAGGTAATCATTAAAAGGTCCCAATTACCTTCAACATGTGACAAAGATGAGCTGAAAATCCTCAAATTTCTGAGACCGGGGTTCAGTCCTTAATTAAATATCCGATCAGTTTGTTAACCTTCTGTCAGTCAAATAAAACTTTAATTCTCCTAGCTCTACTTTTAATGTTGCTGTGTTCTAGTTGCAGTCAATTTGACATTTTATTTGTAGGACAGAAAGCGAAAATCTTCCGTTGGCATGCTGTGTGTGTTTGTGTGTGTGTGTGTGTGTGTGCTGCTGTCGTTGGTATTCATGCTCCGTGTCTGTTTCAGCTCGAGGAACGAGTAAAAGCAGTCATGTGTCCGGACCAGCAGTCGGAGTGTCCGGATGACACCACCTGCTGCCAGCTTCTGGACGGCTCCTGGGGCTGCTGTCCGTTAGTGAAGGTGACGTACATGAGTACACGTCCACATATCTGCACTCAAACTAACACACACAAACAACAACAACAAACAACCTCATACACTTATCATCAACAAACATATCACACAGTCTGCTGGTCAGAGACTGAAGCTGAACGCTGCTTCTCTGGACGCTCTCCATGATAGAAATCTTTTTTTGAATTGTTGCTATGCATAAAATACTTTAAAGAATACATTCTGTGACAGATGATGATAATCTTAAAAACAATAGGACATGGCGAGAAAGCCAGAGACCTTCCAGAGAGGGGGCGTGGTCAGACACAGCTAATTTACATATTTACAGCTACAGAAACAGTCTGTTCTGAGCAGGGCTGAAATAAGGGTTTATAGACATGATCACTTCACACAGCAGCCTCTACCATCAGTGTGTGAATGTGTAGGTGTGAAAGCGCTTTGGCTAGTCAGAACATTTTGCTGTTTCATTACTCTCTGAAATGATGTGTCTCTCTCTCTCTCTCTGCAGGCAGTGTGTTGTGAGGATAAACTCCACTGTTGTCCCGAGGGAACAAAGTGTGACATCGCTCACTCGAGGTGTTTGTCCGCCTCACTCGAGTCCTTCCCCATGCTGCAGAAAATGCCCGCCAGGAGGAGGGACAATGCTACAGGTGAGGAAGTCCTACTAATCACGTTTAAAGATCTTAAAGATGACCTTGAAAAATACCAGAAAGTCACTTAAATCCATCTGCCACTGCCACACTGATATGCTGATGATATCCTGCTGGTATCTTATGACCTTGTTTCTGTCTTCATGTGTTTCTGCAGCCTCTGCGGTCACTTCAGTCACCTGTCCAGGTGGAAGAAGCAGCTGTCCTGATCAATACACCTGCTGCCTGTTGCTCAGTGGAGACTACGGCTGCTGCCCGTATCCAGAGGTAAAGTTAGTCAAACTATTATCCAAGAATTTCAGATCAGGAACAGAGTCTTGCCAAATACTGGTACGTTCTGCATCTCAAATACTAGAATTAGCTAATTTCCTCTTTTTTTTTTCTTTTTTTTTAATAATTGTATAAATCCTTTAAAATCTTCGGGTTTTCCTTCAATGACTGGACAGTAATTTGACGATAACTTAACATTTGCTCTGTGAAATTGCAATTAATTAATTAAATTGTAACGGTGGTTCAGGGGTTAGCGCTGTCGCCTCACAGTGAGGAGGTTCCTGGTTTGAATCCTCGTCTGACAGGAGTCTCTCCGTGTGGAGTTTGCATGTTCTCCCCGTGCATGTGTGGGTTCTCTACAGCTTCCTCCCACAGTCCAAAGACATGCTCGTTAGGTTAACTGCTGACTCTAATTGTCTGAGTGTGGCTGGTCGTCTGTCTCTACGTGTCAGCCCTGTGATCGACTGGAGACCAGTCCAGGGTGTAACCCCGGCCCTGACCCAATGGCAGCTGGGATAGAACGGGAAAAAGCCATATAGATAATGGGTTGACAGGATAATTAATTAGAGTAACCTTATGCACTGTTTTCCCCTGAAAGAACAGCTTTATAATCAATTTAATGGCACGCTGATTTGATAAAGGGAAAGAGAACTGCCTCCCTCTCCTTCCCACTCCGCTGCCCTGCACGCTCTGGTCTTATTGATTTATGCAGGTTTGATCTCCTGCAAGAAGCACGCTCACTTCAAGCTCACAGCTCTTCAACATGAAGTCCCTAATGCTAATGTGTCCTGTTCTGCAACATCATGGCAGAGGTGAAGAGAACATAGAGGACGTTGTTGGAGGAAGAAAAAGAGAGAGAGAGACCAAGCACGAGGCCAGAGCTGCCTCTAAACTGCCAATGAAAGAACATATTGTATTTGTATCTAATCGCAGGATAAACTGAATTCTACACTACATTGCTCTAACCGAGAACACGTTAGTGAAATCCTAATGTTTAGTTGTTGTTCATATATGCGTCTGGAAAGACTTATTTTTAATTCTGTGTTTGATTTTATTAGCTGGAATTTGCTTGAAACTCCCTGTATTGTTTTACTCTATGGTTGTTGCTTTAATCATTTGCAGGCCATATGCTGCAGCGATCACCTCCACTGTTGCCCTAGCAACACAGTATGTGACCTTGAGGGTGGTGTCTGCAAGTCTGGCGAGGTGCAGCTTCCTCTGCTGAAGAAGATCGCAGCTGTCCCTAATGACGGTGAGGAGCAAAGTGCAGTTGAAAGAAAGTCATTAATATTTTAAAACAAAACACGTGTCAAGCATCAGAGCCTGAGTCTGTTCTTTTTTTTTTATCGTTCTGTCAGTCGATTGTCCAGACAAGACATCGGCGTGTCCGGACCAGACATCATGCTGTCGGATGACAAGCGGCTCTTACGGCTGCTGTCCGATGCCCGATGTGAGTACCATGAGATCACACGTTCAAAGGGATAAAGATTACTCCCCAAAGAGAGCTAGACCCTGCACGTTTAAGGATGAAAAGTTGAAGATCTTCAGTTAATACATTTCTATCTTGTTTTTTTTCAGGCCGTCTGTTGTTCAGATCACATCCACTGTTGTCCTGCAGGAACAGAGTGTGACCTCGTCCACAGCGCCTGTATGTCGCCCCAAAGAGAGACCACCGAGATCGTCAAGATCAACGCTGCAGAGACGAAGCTGATCGCAGTACAGAGAAATGATAACTCTAAAGGTAAGACTAAACTTCTTTAAAGGGCCAATATGTTTATATTAAAACATTGTAGACATCCAGCTCTGCATGGGTCTGTAAACCTTTCTGTGTTCCTCTCTGGTCCAAACAAATCCAGAGCATTCAGGAGCAGAATCTAAAGTTAGAAGGAGGACATACTGGCTGCTGCATTGTTGTCAGAGAAGTCAGCACTTCAACACAGCATGTTTCCTTAATGTCTGATCAGATAGTGAGATACCTTTATCATTTCACTCACTACACATCTTACTGATTGGACCTTTAAGTGCCATTAAGTAGTTCTTAGTTTTTATATGAAACAAGGGCATTATCTGATTTAAGGAGCTCTCATGCTAGAGCCTGCAGGACAAATTAGCTGCGAGCAAAACATAACTACTAACAGCATGTTGATTGTCTATTGGCATTGCATTTAATGCAGGTGATAGATTTCTAAGTGGAGGGAGAAGACAATGTTTTGTTTATTGTGTCTTTTTGCTGAGTTTTAAACTGGTGATAAAGTTTCTGTTTGTCTTTCAGTCACTTCTGTTCCCTGCAACGACTCTGTGGCCTGTGCTGACGGGTTCACCTGCTGTAAATCATCAGCGGAGCAATGGGCGTGCTGTCCACTTCCAAAGGTACAGACATAATGATGTTTACAAAAATATAAATGATAATGAACCAACCGACCGGCTGAGTTTGTCTCTCTGCAGCTGCAAAGAATGACTAAAGACTTTCAGAAGATTTATGATTCCCCTCCTGTCTGCAGAGTACATTTTCTTTTTTTTTTTTTTTTTTTTTAAGTTCTCAATTACCTTGACAAACGGCCTCTCACCTATCTCAGAGAGAAATGTTTTGTTGCAACACTCGGGTGGAGGAATGTGAGTCAATATGATGAAGGCTAATATTTATCAGACTAGAAAAGTTTGGCAAACAGATAATCATGAAGTTAAGATTCACAGTTTGTTGTTTCTTCTCGCTGCAGGCCGTGTGTTGTGACGACCACCTGCACTGCTGTCCTCACGGCACCCTCTGTAACCTGGCTGAATCCACATGCGACGATCCCGTTGGCAGCACCGTGATGCCCTGGCTTACAAAAGTTCCCGCCTTCCCTCTGCTGACTGAGAACAGCAGGTGTGATAAATCCACGTCGTGTCCGGGAAAAGCCACCTGCTGCAAGACGGCAGGCGGAGGCTGGGCGTGCTGTCCTCTGCCTCAGGTAATGTGTCAGGAGGATGTTTTGATTATTGTCACTCAGCACTTTTGTGGTTTGTGCGCTGTGGGTTTTTGTGCTCCACTGCTTCATGATGGAGTAAAAAGAAGTCACAATAATGCGGTCTGTATTTTTTGTTTTTCCAGGCTGTGTGTTGTGATGACCACGTCCACTGCTGCCCTCACGGTACCGTCTGCAATCTGGAGCTGAAAGTTGTGACGACCCGTCGGGTTTCCTCCCGTCCCTCCCGATGGTAGAGAAGGTGTCGGCCCTGATCTCAGACGTCCAGGACGAGAAATGTGACAAGCAGACAATGTGTCCCGGAGGAACCACCTGCTGTAAGGGAGACTCTGGACATGGGCGTGCTGCCCCCTACCTCAGGTCAGTCATTACATCACTGTGTGTGTGTGAGGAGACGGGTCTCTGCAGGGTCAATGATGATGCTGCTGTTGTGTTGTGTCTTGTCTTGTTAGTTTTTGTTGAGTGTTCAGGAGGAGTTGCTACAGGTGCTCCTTTTCAAAGTGGAAAAACACAACGCTAATGCAAATTCAAACCTTCGATATTTGCAGCACAAAGTCAGAAAGCATCCGATTCTTAAATTAAAATTGAAGGTTCAAGAAGGTAAATCCAATGGGTGTTGATTCATTAAATCTCTTGTGCTTAAAGAGGACATATTATCATCCTCTTCCACCTTTTCAAACAGTCCCCCTGTGGTCTACATGAAACATCTGTGCTGTGCTTTGGTCAAAATATAACATGAATCAAGCACCAGAGGAGGTTTGTGACCCTGTAGAAACCAGCTCTCTCAGAACGCTCCGTTTTGGTGTGTGTGTCTCTTTAAATGTAATGACCCCCCCTGAGTTTTCCTGGTGGACATCACTCCTTTGTAGAGAGAATTAAAAAAATGGCAGATCTGTGTAAAAGTTTTGTTCTAGTCTGGGGGTGGAGATACCAGGGGTGGGTAGGGGATTTATTTTTTATTTTTTACCAGAATTCCACTGTGACACACTGGAGCGCATATCTGAAACGGAGCATTTTCCTCTGTTTTGTAAGACTTATGCAGACCACAAACAAAGGACTGGATGGGTTTATTTCACATGTTGTGGGTCTGTAGACACTCAGGTTACACAAAATATGTTCAAAAACACTGTTAAAGTGGATTTTTCATAATATGTCCCGTTTAAATAATTAAAAATCTGACATTTTCTGTGATTTTTCGGCTGCATTAAAGAGATATTTAACCAAATTTTTTCCAGGCTGTGTGCTGCAGTGATCGTGAGCACTGCTGCCCAAAAGGCTATAGGTGTAATGTAGCTGAACAGACGTGTGATAAACCTGGAGCCCTCAGTCTGCCCTGGCTGCAGAAGATCCCCGCTCTACATACGGAGAACAGTCCGGCTGTTTCCGCTCCACCTCCTCCGGTCAGGAACATGTGTGACGCCCAGACCAGCTGCCCGAAGGACACGACCTGCTGCTTCATGGACAAGACGCAGAAGTGGGGCTGCTGTCCTCTGCCAAATGTAGGAGAATACTCACCGCCCTTGCACGCCAAACAGAGCGCTGTGTCAGATTTTAAATCATCTCTGCTGTTTTTCAGGCCGTCTGCTGTAAGGACGGGAACCACTGCTGCCCCAGCTCTCACACCTGTGAACCTCACCGCTCCTCCTGCTCAAAGGGCCCTCATGTCATCCCCTGGTTCACTAAACTGAGCGCTCTGACCGAGCCGTCCGCTGTCACAGACGTCAAATGTGACGACAAGAGCAGCTGCGCTTCAGGAACGACCTGCTGTAAGCTGGATTCAGGAGAGTGGGGCTGCTGCCCGCTGGTGAAGGTCTGTACACCTCTAACTTCATATTCATGTTTGGATGCTGATTTAACACAAGATTATTCATTTGAAGTTTCAGAGAGAGCACAAACTAAGTTTGATCTGATTATACTGCAAGACTTTTGTCCACTCAAAAAATATAAAAATATTTAACATACTTTTTAGTATCAAGCTACAAACATTTTATTTTTACAGATGACATATCCTCCTCCTCTTCTTCAGTGCAAATAAGTCTCAGAGCTCCTGAAATCATGTGTGTGAAGTTTCTTGATCAAATACAGGATCAGAGTGGATTTAGAACATGTCTATAAACCCCTCTATTTCAGCCCTGCTCAGAACAGGCTGTTTCTGTGTCTGTACCTTTAAATATGTAAATGAGCTGTGTCTGACCACGCCCCCTCCCTGGAAGGGCTCGGGTGTACTCGGGCTTTCTTGCTCCATGTCCTATTGTTTATGGTGAGAAGGCAGACTCAGAGGGCAGAACAAACACCTAGCTGTGGGAGTGTCACCCACCTGGGGGAGGGGCTACTGCCCTTTGTGATGTCATGAAGGGAAAATCTCCAAACGGCCTTTTTGAGCACACATTTTCTGAAAAGTGGAGCAGGCAGAAGACTGAGAGGATGGACTTTTCTCATCATTGGGGGGTTTGTAGACAGACTAGGAAACATGTTGGAGTCAGAGGAACATGGAGAAGAGGATTTTTCATAATGTGACCTTTTTAAATAAATGAAAGTGACATCACTGTGTCAAATCTAATGCGAGCCGCCTAATGGGCCACTTTTGTGAAGCAGAACTGGTGCTGCAGGATGACCTGTTTTATTTATTTTCCAGTGAACACGATGAAGTGAGAAATGTTCATACTCTAAATGCTGTCGATGTGTCTCCTCTTCAGGCGGTTTGCTGTGCAGACCACCAGCACTGCTGTCCGCAGGGATACACCTGCAACATGCACACAGGAACGTGTGAGAAGAAGAGCAACGACGCCCTCATCAGCACCCTCCGTCAGAGTGAAGTGGTACAGTCCGAGCCTGCGGTCACAGAGGACGACGCAGACGTACCATGTGACACCATGGGGGTGTATCACTGCCCCGGGCGAGACACATGCTGCAGGATCTCAGACACAGAGTGGGCCTGCTGCCCCTCGCCCAAGGTGATCCTCAGCTCACACAATCCACTAAACCTTTCATTGATGTTCATTTTATTGAAGGAGAAATAGATTTTATTTGAGAATTGAAATGGTACAATCATCCGGAGCGTGGATAATGTGACCAGTGAACATTTATGACACGTGATCCACAGAGTCGACTGTGAGAGCTTCTCTGTTTCCTTCCTCATCAAACATCCTCTGTCACTTTAATTTAGTCCTGATTTATATTACTTTTTCACATTTTATTTGTAGATTTGACTTACAGTGAGCAGTGTGTTCCTCGCATGCCTGAAGGGAAACCTGCAGCAACACAGATCTAGGGATTTGAATGATGTAATAGAAACAATGAGAGCAGTGGTCCAGCCTCAGGACCCACAACCAGACACTCCTCAGTAAGAAATCATGACCCAAATTTCTGATATTTTTCAACAAACAAGCGTTATTTGATGAAAAACAGTGCAGCTTGGACCTCAGACGTCACAGGACAACGAGAAAGAACAAAACAAACATGTTTTAAAAGCACCTCTTTTTTTCTTTCCAGGCACTTACTTGCGACCCACTAAGAACAGCTCTTTGACCAACTTTAGGGTCCTGTCCCACCAGTTGAGAACCACTGCTTTAGAAAATAGAAATAAGAATTGAATAATGAGTCTAAATTAAACGAACGGTATGAAGAGTCCACCACCAGGGGGCTCTCAATCAAAACAATAACAAAAGATGACGTTGAGGCTGGTGGTGAATCATGGGAGTGATTCTCTCTACAAAAATGTCAGGAGAGCAGATGTGAAAACGGTGACCGACTGCTCATCTGACTTTTTATCTAAATTTTACACATTTATGGCTCATTATTTATTTTTTTTTTTTTCCTCAGGCTGTGTGCTGCTCGGACTCAAAGAACTGCTGTCCCGCAGGATTCTCGTGTGACCTGAAGTCTCAGAGTTGCGCCCCGCACTCCCCGCTGACCTGGGACTCTTTGTTCGGGGACCGCAAGAAAGACTTTAACAGAGCTGGACTTTAACCCTGCGTTAGACGTTAGCTTTAACATCATCAACGTGGACACACACCACATCGTCCCGTCTACACTCCTGACTTCGGTTTGGTCATTAATGGAAATGAATTTACAAAGTTTCTGCACTCGTGTTTATTTTTTTTGGTTTGTAGGTGTTGAGGAAACCCGCATTCAGGGGACTCCACAGCCTCTCTTTAGGTGAGCGCAGTGTGCAGGATTCTTTAATGTATTTATCATGATGACACTTACTCTCTGGAAATCAAACAATTACGCTAACCGTGCCAGGTGAGATCTCCACCTGAAGATTTGTTTTATTCTGTTTTTCTTATTGCCAATGAAATGTGAAAAAAAGACCAAAACTGACGAGCTATGAGCCACCTTCTAACTTCTCGTCTTGTCTGTTATGCTCAACTCTTAACCAGTAACTTTCTACTTGCGTTTATCGAGTTCTTTCTGCCGTCGTGTGGTTCATGGCCTCATGGTAGCTAACCTCGCATCCGTCTGAAACGAAGCGATTTTAAAGTCATTTTAGCAAATTGTGAAATTTGTCTCCAGGAAACAGATTAAAGAGATTTTAAAACACCTTTTTTAATTTGCAGTTTTGTTATTTTAAACGGCTTTGACATGACTTTAAAAAGCTTCTTTTTGGGTGGTGCTGGTAGCCTGGTAGTTGGTGGGCATGCTCCATGTACAGAGGTGTTGATTCTCCAAGAGGGCGGAACAGGTTCAGGTCACAACTGAACTGTTTCCACCTGTTTCCCTCTCTCTCTCTCTCTCTGATTTCTGATTCGATCCTGTCTCTAAATAAAGATGTAAAAAAAAAAGGCCCAAAAATTGTTCTTCTTTGCAGACAAACAGGAAGTTTAGTAGATCTAGTAAGAATCAGGGGCAGCAGACTTTGTGATGCTTTGTGGGTTCTTGATACTGAAGGAAAATGGCGCCCAATGTAGGGATGTGGCTCTCTTCACTGATGTGAGGCGCTTTACATCATGTACAGGACACATCAGGTTCTGGATGCATACTAAACTATTCTTTGTAGAAACATTAATTTCTAGTTTTGGTCTTTTCATTGGATTGTTTTGACAACAAGAAAATGAACAAAATATCGACTTCTTTATTTTCTGAGTATCAATCATTTAAAGTGAGGGGGTTTTTCCCAGTGCGGTTGTATTTCCCTGCGATAAAATAATCATACATTTGCCTTTTTATTGGAGGAAACGTCCGGTATGATAGCCTAAATCTTGTTAGGCACAGTGTCCACCGAGCTGTTATTTTCTGGGCGCTAGCGTCTTTTGTTCCAATTGTTTTCAAAGAGTAGAGTTTGCAGCAGGAGGCAGCCGCCCGGAGAAAAAGTGCAGCACTCAGCGTCTTTTTTCTGAGCGCTTTGCCTTCTTTTGTGGAGCCGCTCTGAGCGCTTGAGTTGAAAATCCAAATGATATTCCACATATTATTAACGGGGCCTAAGTTGTTTTGAAGTCATTTCTCTCTTTGTGTCTCTGCGTGTTGAGGAAGCTGCTCTTCTCTTCTAAAGTGAAGTTGTTCTGGTTTTATGATGAAGTGTAATGATTCCTTAAGTTTGTCTGTGATTTATTTTAAGAGTTATCAAATTGATAAACTGTGAAGGAAAACGTCATGTGAAGCAGCGATATAGTGTTTTACAATTTGGATGCTTCAGTTTTTGTTTTTGTTTTTTATCTGATGATTTTATCTCAATTAAAAACATCTTCTCCATCATCGTGTTTAATTCACTTTTAAAACAGAATTGTGTCATGAAATAAACAATGCTCACCATCCACGTGTTGCCTTCACTGGACTTTTTACACTCATTCACAGCTTAGATTGAATTTAAAGCTATTCATTTTGTTTTTCTAAATTCTGAAACTACGGGGCTCCTGAAGGGACACAGAGAGAGAGAAGTTAAAGTTGATCCTGAGAAACCTGGAGGATCCTAAATAAGATTTCAGAGGTTATTTGGGATCTTGCTTCATTTTAAAGGCCTTAGGATCATGCAAAAGATTCTTTAGATCTTCAAAAAGTTTCTCTTGACGTGTAGTCTTTCAAAGAAGGAGGGGGAGGGGGCGTGTTGATGACTGGAGAGTTAAATAACGTTCCTTAAAATATCCCTTAAGTGTTTGTGATAATTAAATTCACTGAGGTCATCCCTGAACTTCATCAGATGGCAGGATGTACAACAAGCCCACTAACTTCCTCTGCCCTTTTCCATTCATATCCTCTTACTCCCCCCCACCCCTTCCTCCCTTCCTCACACTCATCAGAAAGTTGTTATGACGACCCGAGTAAATACGACACAGAGTGGTGAGTGGAGACACAGCTGTGTGGGGGGGGATTGTGTCCCACTTTTCCTGTCAGCTAACTTGGCAGGCTGTGATAGAGGATCTTTATTTGAGAATATGCCCCCTGGTGGTCACAAACAGACATGACGGCTCTTCTGCTCGAGTGGAGAACAATGAGGAAACACATGCTGCTTCAGCTCTAAATGAGGTCAGATGCTCTGTTCCTGTGAGGCCCCCTTTGTCGAGGACGTACAGGACGCTTACTTATGTGAAGGCTTTGATACATACTGCTGCCTTTAGAGAGATGAGCGATTGTTTACTTTTAATTCATACAGGAAGTTCAAGAGTTCATAAACCTTCAATCTAATGTTAATATATGTCAGGAGGACAAACTACTCTTCAGAGCCCCTCCTCAGAAATTCAAATGTTAGAGTTTTAAATGCTGAAGTTCTACATTTTTGAAAACACTTTTTTGGACTGTCTTAGTTTTATCAATCAAATAATGAATAGCAATAGTTGCAAGAGTGCCCAGCCTGCATGAACACTTTAAAGGTGACGTATCCTCCCCCTCTTCAGTGTAAATAAGTCGGAGCTCCTCAAAACATGTGTGGAAGTTTCTTGTTCTAAATCCACTCTGATCCTGTATTTGATCATGTCTATAAACCCCTCTATTTCAGCCCTGCTCAGAACAGACTGTTTCTGTGTCTGTAGCTTTAAATATGTAAATGAGCTGTGTCTGACCACACCCCCTCTCTGGAAGGGCTTGGGTGAACTCTGTGTTTTCTCGCTCCATGTCCTATTGTTTACGGTGAGAAGGCAGACTCAGAGGGCAGAACAAACACCTAGCTGTGGGAGTGTCACCCACCTGGGGGAGGGGCTACTGCCCTCTTGTGATGTCATGAAGGGAAAATCTCCAAACGGCCTGTTTGAGCACACATTTTCTGAAAAGTGGAGCAGGCACAAGACTGAGAGGATGGACTCTTCTCATCATTGGGGGGTTTGTGGACACTAGAGACTCATGTTAGAGTCAGAGGAACATGGAGAAGAGGATTACATTTATTAATCACAATTAATCTCTGAAAACTTTATCGTGATTAATCACATTTATAATCACACATAAGCTCCATTATTTGGCATTTCAAAATAAAATTTGTTTTGTTATATGGTGCTTTACTTGCTGTTTGAATTCAACCCTGCTTTTATTTTGAAACAAAGTCAGAACCTTCTGGTAGTTCAGAGGTTACGCCACATCAACAAAACCACAAACAGGAAGTGGTTACAGATCAAAAACTATGATGATCATCGTTCATTTATCGATCAATCGAACTCCAGGTGTCAGTTTTCGGTGAGAGGCGGAGACCTGGAGAAGCCATGTAACCTCTGTGAGGAGGATTTTCAGCTCTATGTTTAGCAGACCTGACCCACCAACAGCAGAGAGGACTGAAGTGACAAAAAGACTTTGACGTGTGCAAAAAGAAAAAACCTCCTGCTCAGCCTCACTATTGGTCAGCAGCTGATCCAGTTCAGATGTTACCAGGGAGGAGAGGGACCTCCACCCTAAAACACACACACACACACACACACACACACACACACACACACACACACGCACACACATACTCAACACTCCCTCCTCTGGTATTTAGTTAATTCCCAACAGGAATGTGTAGATTCAGTCGTCGTCAAGTCGAGCAACAAATGTGCTGCTGGAAGGATGGACGGCTGCCAATCAACAGCGGACATTATCTGTGTGTTCTCAAAGTGACTAAACATGCATCACTATTATCTGATCAGAAATGTGAAAAAAAAAACATATCGATAAAGATAAGAGACGCTCTGTTGTGCCATCACATCTGGACACGCCCCTTAAAGGCTTTATATGTGTTTTTCACACTTAAATGTAGAAATCAAGTATCTCCTCTGAAAATAACTCTGTGAGTCATGACTGTCTACAATGGGTGTAACACCCGAGTCCCACTGTCTGTGATGTTTTCAGAGTTTTCAGAGTCCTATCTTCACTTTGTTTACATCGCCCGGACGGCCGGCTGACTCCTCCCCTCGTGTATAAAAGTTGTTTAATTGAGGGACTAGAGAAAAGAAGAATAACATACTGTACTCACTGCTTAACTGTGTTTCTAGATCACGCTCATTTCAGGTAAATTTACATGCAGTGTGAAGATACCAGCATAATAAAGATCGCTAGCATTAGCATGCTAACACAACAATGCAGTGCGAGTTGTTTTGGTTTCATGCTGGAGCTCAAGGGCGACATCTGCTGGATCAAAAAATCACATATAAAGCCTTTAAAGGAAGGAGATTCCCATTCATAACAAACGAGAAGAATACAGAAGGACACAATGAAGACAGATAATATAAATGTGTGTGTGCATATACACATGTTCATATGAAGACATAAAACAACACAGGTCATGACAAAGTCTTCTTTAAGTCACCTTCTGCATCATATCTGGTAGTTACTCAAAATTGCCCTTGATAAAGTTTATTCAACTTTCATGTAAAGTTTTGTTTTTACATTAATTAAAATAAACTTTAAAGACACTAAAAGATCCAAACACAGGCGGTGTCACTGAGGTCATGAACAGTATCCGTCCAGAGGCCGCTGTGTGTGGGTGGTGGTGTTTGGAGGGGCGGTGGGTGTTTGGTGTTTTGCAGGGGGGGGGGGGGGCAGCGGGGTGACTGAGGTGTAAGATCTCATAACTCTCACACATGGTCGACCAATCAGCAGAGGCTGCAGGGGGCAGAAAGCCGGTAGGTTACAGACTGTGGCACACATGACTTAGAACGAGCAGAGAGACAGAGAGGCAGGAAACATCTTCTTCTTCTGTGTTTCTTATAACAGTCTCACCAGAGCGACTTCACCTGAACCTGAGACAGGACACACACCGCTGATCGCCCCCCCCCTCAGGTAATGTGCTCTGTTGGTGTAGAGTTTCACTTTGATGCAACTTTAATCCACAGCGTCAGCCTGACTCCTTTATAACAGGAGGTGTCCTCTTTATCAGGTCAGAGAGGGAAGAGAGGAAGTGAAGTTAGAAATGCATCGTGGGAGACATATGGCGTTGTTTGGGAGATCAGTCTTTCGCACGTCCTGAGAGAACAATTGGGCCTAAAATAAACCCTCAATTAAGTTTCAAGAGGTTAAACTTTACTCCAAAAGTTTTGACTTTGGGAGCATTGACATCTCAAGTGTAGATCTTTTTCTTTCACCTGTCAAACATGTTTCCTGTTTTTAGGTTTAGTTGTGTTTCCTCGAGCTTTAACAGTTCAGCGTCCGCACATTATCTATGGAAGGTGATTCAGATATTTCCTCGACCATCAGGCCGCGTGTGTGTGTGTGTGTGTGTGTGTGTGTGTGTGTGTGTGTGTGTGTGTGTGTGTGTGGGATAAGGTTGTCAAAATGTCTGATACTTCGATCCTTTTTGGATATCGTGTTTTAAAGCGATCAAATTCAGTTATTTTATTGATCGATAGTAAAAGTAACAAAGCTTTTAAAATAAGAAAGGTGTTTAGGAGAGGAATGAGTCAGGCAAACTCCTGCAAACTGTCTTGATTGCACAAAAACAGTTTGTTTCCTGAAACGTTGCCAACATATTTGTGCATTTAAGACAGTTTGCGGAAGTTTGCCTGCAATATTTGGTTGTTAAAAACAAGAAATTTCTCAATGTGGAGTGCATAGGACTTCTTCTTTTGTTGTTGCCATGGTATCCAAACAGGTATTGATTAGATTTCTAATAGAGTGGTGTGAGAACTTTAGGACGAGTGTAGTCCTTCTGTGTGTGTGTGTGTGTGTGTGTGTGTGTGTGTGTGTGTGTTTTGATCCCTCCAGCATTTGGCTGTCAACATGCCGAGTTTTGAGGAAGAGAGACTCAGACAGCTGGCCCGCCTCGGTTGGAAAGCATGCGGCGGCTGCTTCTGCGGCTGCGTGCCAAAATCTCTGCGCGCTATTTATACTCACCTTTACCCGGCTTACCGCTGGTGTCTGTTCATTCACGCCCCGCCGACGCAAATGCCATCACATTAAAATGCTGACCAAGAAAATACACTTCCTTTTTTTTTTTTTTATCAAGACGATTTTTTGCTTTATAGTTGCTAAAGTTAGTCAGGCATGTCTCCTCGCTTCACTATCTGGTACAGAGTTAAATAAAACAACTTTTTTTAAACTAAACTGGCATCCGATCTTGAGAAAACAATCTGATCAATCCTGAAGACTTTCTTTTATCCTCTGAATTATCATCCTGCTCCACCATTAGTTAAAACAATTCAATTGATTGGATTCATACAGTTTGGTGATCTCACACATTTCAGGATGAGCTGGATATAGCTGTGGGCGGTTGCCTCAAAACCAGAAGGTCAGGGGTTCAATCCCCAGCTCCTGCAGCAACGTGTGTCCTTGGTCAAGACACTTAACCTCAAATTGCTCCAGTGTGAATGTGATGAGTTAATACTGATTTCACTTCACAAAGCAGCCACTACTGTGA